AGCAGGTCGACGCTCTCCAAGCTCAAAACGAGTTTCTCGAAAAGCAGAACGAAGAGAACTTGCAGGGATTTCTTGCCGAGAAAGAGAAGCTTCAGAAGGCTTGCGAGGAAGTAGCCATATGGTGGCTTTCTTGAAGAAGATGCAGGACAAAGGGTGGGAGCTTCCTGTCGGGACCCTTACGTCTTTCGAGAGGGAGTTTGCCAAGTGGAAAGTGGCTAGTAATGCCATTGACGAGATAGTCGTCACGAGCGACGACCTCAATCTTCCAAGCCGATCAGAGATTGACGGGCTGCGAAAATGAGCTCAACGGTTTTTTTTTTATATATATATATTTTTTATTTTTTGTAAGAATTTTGCCTAAGATTGCTTATTATTATTTTTTGATAATGAAAAAGTTCCTTTAATTGCTCTTTATTGTTCTTCGTTTTTTTTTTTACGTGTGATGGAACTTTTTAGTTTGGAACTGGAAGCGGGATTCCTTTGCCCGTCTTACACCAAACGACAATCAAGATCGAATACCAATTTTTCAGGATTCACTTTGACCGGAAAGGTATGATCGAGGATTGTGCGAGTATTGTCCTCGGCTTTCTTCTTATCCGCTTCAGAAGTAATTAAATCAAACCGAAGTATCAAAGGAGTGGTGATCAGCCACTTATTTTCTTTATTGTGCTTGCTTTTTTTTTTAATCGAATGTTTGGCCAGAACATCGACTCAGCAAGATGGATTCGCATAAGAAAGCGTGACTCTATACGCCAAGCTGATTTTTCGAAATATATAAATTTATTAGATTTACAGCTGCACCCGGAGGTTGCCTACGTACCCGAATTGGGATCAAGCCGTTCGTAGTTCATTACAAGTATTGAATGAGTGGTATCACTCAGGGGCTAAGCCCGGTTTTATTGAAAAGAAAAAAAAATAGCTAAGACTCGTTGTCGAATCTTTTTCGCTTATTTAGCGTCTTCGAGTGCTTTTGCCGTGGAGAGTCACACTTTGCGCTCGCTGATGAAGCAAGATCTTGCCATCTGCTGATCCCTGCGAAGCGTAAAGACTCCGGCCGAAGAAACAAATTTCATACATTGATGATAAGTCGACACGATTGCTTTCATCTCGTGGATCCAAGGTGTGCCAAGTATGGTATTATAAATTGCTGGTTTGTCTATTACCATAAATTTAACGATTTTTGTCACTCCGCCGACATAGACCGTGAGTCGTATGGTGCCGAGGCTGAAGAAAGATTCACTGGTAAAGCCAGTTAAAGGCTTTGGTGCCGCTTTGATGTCTTTATCCTGGAATCCCATCTTAGTCAACGTGTCTTTAAAGATGATGTTGACTATGCTGCCGGTATCCACCAGGATTTTCGCCACTTCGCTGTAGTGGATATGTAGTTCGACCACCAGCGGGTCGTTATGCGGGGTGTGTAACCCATGCATATCCTTCGATGTGAAGGTGATCGTGGGGTGATAGGCCACATGGCAAGGGAATTTTCGCGATGCAACTGCTTTACGTCCATACTGTTTGATGGCACGGACCGAGTCATCGCAGTCGGGGAGTCCCCCCATGATCATGTTGACTCGTCGCTTTGGTGGAGGGGGTGGATTTTCGTGTTCTCCTTCGTCGTTCTGACGCTCTGCTCCTTTCTCCTTCTCCTTTTCTTCGTGCTTTCTTTCGGGCGTGCGACTTCGGCGCCTTCCTCCAGAGCTGCCCCGACTGCTGCTCTTTCCTGGATCCCTGCGATCCCGAGTGGAGGTGTTCTGACGCGAGTCCATAGAGTTTGAACTGCGCGAATAAGAGCTTTTACTCCGGGATCGATCGCCTCCGATGTTGATTTTGCCTTCTTTGTTTTGTTCATACAGCGTATTGTGGAGGTGTCGACAGGCCGAAGTAGCGTGTCCTGTTCGGCCGTGAAAAGAGCAATATAGGTCGTGATTGTCATCCCTGTCGCTCGTGCTCCTCGGGGGATCTCCCAGGGTCCACTGATTCCAGGGCTTCTCTCCAGTTGTGACAACGGCGTGAGAGGATGGCTTGCTTTTGCTTGCGGGCTCCTTCTCTTTCGAAGTGCTTGCCACGTCCATGCCGTGTTTCTTGGCATAGAACGTTCTTTCTTCCTCCATTTGTATGAAGGTCTGGGCCCGATGGAGTGCGTCTTCTATAGTTTCCTTTGGGTGCTTCTGGAGATCTTCCTTGAAGGAAGATTCGAACCATAAGCCGTTTATAAGCGCTTCGATGGCTAAAGCTTGTGGGATTTGGCCATAAGCCGCGGCGGCGTTCTTGAATTTTTTGATGAAATCGCAGAGTGGCTGGTCGCATTCTTGTACCAGAGTGAATAGGTTGACTGTCCACTTCGTGATGAATATGGAATAGTATTTTATGAAGGCGTGAGTCAGATCTTTGAAGGAGTTGATCGAGGCCGGAGGTAGGTTAGAGAACCACTTCAAGGCGTCCTTGTTGAGATGTTCTACAAAGGTTTGGCAGTGGTTGGCTTCGCGTTCGAGGTCGGTCTCCAATCGTTGCCTCTTCATGGCGACGTTGAATCCGGTCAGCCATAGGTTGGGATCCTCCATCCCGTTGTAGTATGGGAGCTTCAGCTTTATCGCCTCGCCAAGTCGTACGTTGGTGATCCGCAGGGCGAACGGATTGCATTCAGCGTCAGAGAGAATAGCTGAGATCTCGGGTGCCGAGCTGGTGGCCCGACGTACTTGGGATCCGATCACGTTGATTCGTTGGTGAAGCCTTGCGATCTCGGAATTCAGTTCGCCAGATGGCTCCTCATCGTCCGCCGCTGTGCCCCTGATGTTGTTTTGCTCCGATGTTTCAAAGATTAAACGTCGCCCGATCGGTTCTGATCTCGCGGTGGTCGCGGCTGCGAAGGCGCTGAGTTGCTCGTCGTACTTGGCTTGCTGGGCCTGGAGGGTGTCTAGTTTGGATACCAAGTCCTGTGTGAGTGGTCGCATGGCAGCCTGGATGGCTGCTGTGAGGTCGGTGGTGAGAATGGGAGCTGAGGGTGCTCCCGTGGGTGGATTCGCGTTGGTGGGGTTACCATGTTCGTCCAGAGTAGACGTCTCGGTGCGGATGGTGGTATCGTCGTTGTTGATGAGACTTCTGTCATCGATTGGGAAACTCATCGCTTCGGCTTCTCTTGCTATTGTTCTTTTAAGAATTTATTCTCCTAGTCCCCACAGACGTCGCCAACTGTTGAACCAGAAAATCACCACTAGGGTTTGATTAACAGTTGTGGGTTTCGGAGAACAAGGTCTTTCTATTAATAGCAAGTAAGCGAAACGATTACAAAGAAAGGTATAACCGAGATGCTCTCTAGAATGTATTGGATGGTCTTCTTGGCTTCGAGGTCCTCTTTATTTATAGGGGTAAGAGGTCGGTCGATTCAAACTTCTTTTCCCTTTTTGTCTTTTGTGTATATTTCCATATCTATCCTTTATTCTCCGAGTAATAAGGAAATTCTTCTTTATCTTTTGAATTAGTCCGATGTTTCCGGTCTTCAAAGGTTATCCTTAAGAGATTTCCTTAAATCCGAACTAGGTCGGCACGGTCTTCCTAGTCTTGATGGGCTTAAGTTATTGCGAGGGAAAACCTTTTAGGAAATGTATTCATTTTCCCTCTAACAATGTTTTAAGTATGTATTAACAAAATAAAAATTAATATATGAAAACAATTAATAAAAATAAGTAAGATGCTTATGTGAAGCAGAATATTCCCGACCGTGTGTCTACTTACCGTGGCCAAAGACATCGCATGAAAAAACAAACCAAAGAGTAAGGTAAATTAAATAGAATGTATTTAACTAGATTGAACTTGGAGTAATTAGTTGTCTTTCTCTTTTTGCACTTTTGAAAAGATAAACAAAATTTCCTTTTGGAGCTACTTTGTGGTTCAAACAAGAATCCCCATGGCAAAACGGCAGTTACTTTGTCAGTCAACTTTTGAAATCTGAGGCTTTCAAGGATTGTAAGAAATATTAAATACAAAACTCTGTTGTATTTTCCATCGACCCTAAGAGACAGGCCTTTTCAAGCCTATCTTTTTAGCATTGGAAATTTTAAAGTGTTTTATTTTATTTATTTAAAATAGTAAAAACATGCAAATCATAGGGTACTCATTATCTAATTATCACACTCACTCTCTTTCCTCGGCTTGGTTTAACCTTTTTAACCACTGATCAAATAATACGTAGCCAATTTGTCCAAAATCTTCCAACTTCTTTTCCTCCTTTCTTACTTCTTTAAATTATTTTAGTATTCGTCATAAATCAAAAGATACGTTGTCTTGAACATGTACACAGGTTGTAGTATTTGTGTGAAACACAAAAGTGTATACTAGTATTTTAGTTAGGAAATCTACACCATATATTTACTTTTCTTATAAATTAAGTATATGACTTTGACATTATTTTAATGATACATAATCTTTTGATTACTTTCATCAGTTATTTTTTTTGCTAAAAATTAATTTAAATGTTGTTTTTAACCTACTAAAGATTTCATGCGTACGTCAGAGACTATTTTTTGTTTCTCATATCATGATATGTAATCAGAAAAGTGAAAACAGGTTGCCATGTACATTCATTTATGATACACAATTGATTTTTTTTTTCTTTTTACCAAATAACAGGTTATTCATCAGTTGCCACATTGGCGAAAGATGAAAATACTATTTTCATTGATCCGCATAAATAAAAAATCCTTTGATTTTACCACTTTGTTATGGTAGTCATTTACGTAGTTTTAATTCGGTTATCTACCCGAATTACGTTTTTTTTGCTTAAAAGTTGAAAATGTTATTCTACGTAGGGACTAACATCTGGTAATACAGTACTACGATAAGAGTGAATAATTAAGAGTTTTATAAATAGGTTATATATTTAAATCATTTGTACACGTAGAAAATAAAACATATTATTCTTAAAAAAAGACGATAGACTATGTTTATTGAGATAAAGACAATAGTTACGTCGTTGCTTTTCTTGCTCTCTCTCTCTCCATTTCTTTCTCTCTCCGCTATTTAAATAGACAAAGGATTAATGAAAAAGTAGAGAGATGATGATGTTAGACTCCAGAAGCAGTATGAGAGATTCAAACTCAATCCTTGATCTGTCTCTTCAGATCAGCCTTCCTAACTCTCACGCCGGAGAACTTCTTCACGGCGGTGACCGAAGCTCCACCACAAGTAGTGATTCTGGAAGCAGTCTCAGTGAGTTGGGCCATGAGAACAACTTCTTCAACAAACCTCTCCTAAGCTTAGGTTTTGATCATCATTATCGTTATCAAAGGCACTCAAACATGATCCAACCACAAATCTACGGTCGAGATTTCAAGAGAAGCTCATCATCAATGGTTTGTCTTAAACGAAGCATTCGAGCTCCAAGAATGAGATGGACTTCTACTCTCCATGCGCACTTTGTCCATGCTGTTCAGCTTCTTGGCGGCCATGAAAGTATTTTGCTTTCACATTTTCCTTTTTAAAAGAAATAATCAAGATTTATGTCAAGTAAAATGTTTTGAAACCAAAGTACTAAGATTTGTTGCTTATTTGCTGGTCTCAGGAGCTACGCCTAAATCAGTGTTGGAGTTGATGAATGTGAAGGATCTAACCCTAGCTCATGTCAAGAGTCACTTGCAGGTCCATCTCTATTTTAATTTATTTTTCTTATATATTTTATTATAAAAATAGTAATGGAATCTCATAAGAATGCAATAGGTTTAAGTAAACATTTATGAAAGTGTATCTATTTGGTCCACTAGCTAACACATGATTGCGTAGTTGAAATAAACTTGTATTAGCTATACTTTTTTTATTTTTTATTTGGTTTTGATTTTTAAAGGATGTGTGTTTGTTGATGCAGATGTATAGAACAGTGAAATGCACTGATAAAGGATCATCAGGTATGCATTCAAACCGGATTGGCTGATTTTTGAATTCCTACTGGATGTAAATGTAACTATCTCATTTTTTTTTTTTTGTTTTAATTTGTATTTGTTTCTTCTTGGGAATAACAGGAGAAGGAAAGGTAGAGAAAGATACAGAGCTGATGACAGAGGACAATAATAATAATGAAGAAGCTGACGAAGGAACTGACACAAATTCGCCAAACTCATCATCTGTGCAAAAGACCCAAAGGTTACTCTTTTATCTATTCTATTTTGTAAAAACTTTGCATTTAATCTCTTTGCCTTTGTTATGCGCGAATTTTGATGAATCCCTCTTCTAGTCGTATGTGACCCTGCTTGTCCATTTTTATAAATAGAAAAAATTTCTATGATCTCAGTTAAATTGTGTGTATTCACTGTTGATAGTAAATAAGTAGGTTCAAATAAAACAATATATGAATATGAATGTCCAACAATATGAATTATTATTAGTAGATTTCTCAAATGTGTTTTTTATCATTTAAATTTGAACAGGGCTTCTTGTTCATCCAAAAAGAGAGTGTGTATGAACATATCTACACAAGCAGAACCTCACTTGGGATCAACTCGTCACACTAATGTACATTCTTTAACAAATTGTTACAATGTTATTATAGATGTGCACTCTCACATATACGTACATATACCCTTCTGTATACTGTTTCTAAAATGTGAAATCTTTGGAAATAGGATGATGGGAAGAAAGAGGCGATCAACGCTCATCTCAATTTGGAATTCACATTAGGCCGGCAAAGTTGGGGGATGGACTATTCGGAACCCTTAAGAGATCTAACTCTTCTCAAGTGCTAATCGTTTAGCTTGGAGAACTACAACAAATAAGTCAGCTTAGGTTATCAATTTAACATAATTAACTTGTTTGATCGTAATAGACATTGGAAGAATCATTATCATCATATATGAATTTCTTACAAAAAATGTTCTCATTTTTTTTTTTGGGATGTAAACAAGAGATTCGGATTAAGTAGTAGCTATGTTATGGTTGTAGTGGATGAGAAGGGAGTGCAAGTTCAAGTAGAGATGAACTTATGATTGGTTGCCACCAAATATGCATGGTGGATTTGTTGGTAGTTTTTTTTTATGTTTTCATTGACTGCTATTCATATTGTCGCAGTGAATATATATTTAAATGATTTTGTTTTGATTCTTTGTCTTGATTTGGATTAGAAAGTAGAATTCGGCAAAACTAGAGGTTTTTTTACTGATATTCTGCATGACAATAAAACTCTCAGTTCTATTTAAATTTTTCGCTTTGTTATTGATACATATACCGTTTAAAAGGATACATTAAACAATACTGAATAGTACTCTCAAATTCTGTTTTTCGAAGGATATGAGTTGGTAGATATTTCACAACATCAAAAAACGAAGGTGAAAATACCTTCTTCAGATTGCAAAGAATTACAGAAATTTTGTGCCAGGTTTCGCAGACCGCCTGTTGTAAGAGATCGCAACATATATCTTGAACCAATCCCTCGAAAGCATAAATAAACAAAGTAGACACTAAGAAATGATTATATAAATAATATAATATGTTTAATTTATTAATTATATGTAGCTGCAATTGCTTCATGAATATTATGTGGTAGAGACTGACAAAAATAAATGGAAAGAGACACTTCATCACAACATGGTAATCATAACTCTTCATCCAGAAAACTTCCATACCTCTTCATTTATATGAGAATTTAATGTTATAGGCAATCTAATAAATACTCTCCCTTTGAAGGTGCATCCAACTGAAAAGCAGGGACCGATGCCTTCCCTTTCTAGGAAACTTGTCGCGCCTTACCAGAACAGTACTCTGCCAAGTCCAATCTAGACTTCATATTGTCCTTTGTCTTCCTTTGACATTGAGAACGGTGTTGATTATGTTGTCTATAAAATTCTTCGTATTGTGCATAACATCTAGATTATGCCTTATCAAATGGTCCTTCCAAAAAGACAATTCCCAAAATATACTCATCTTATACAAACTATGTTGGTCACCACAAGCGTTCACATGATAATGATAACCTTCCATGCATTGGCCATCAGAATAACATGCCATATGCTGGAAAAAGGCTAATAGTCCACATTAATACTGACCCCATGACAATATTCTGCTGACAAGAAACATGAAATGCCTGAACACTATGCTCCTATAATATTTGCAGCTCATAAAACAATGATTGGAGAAATTCATCAAGTACTCTGGTCTAGGAACGGGAATGTTTAGGAACAGGAACTTTCATCTCATGCACAAAGATGAAGGTATATGGTAAAGTGTTACAATACTGGCCACAACGAATATTATCTCCCAAGCTTCCCAGAAGAGTTGAAATCATTGGTGCATCATCAAAGGTATAAATTCCTCGCATCATACGGAAAACACGATTTCACAGACTGAAAATGTTTCCATGCTTTCTCATCTTAGAGATAAGCAATTTCTCCATCCATTGTAAACTCGGAATACTATCTCATTAATTGTCGTTTCTGTGCGCTTTGATTAATAACCTCTTCAATCTTTCTTTTTACGGTAAATGCCACATCCGTTTAAGTGGGACTGTCACTCTTCCACTTGTTTTCTTATACCGAGGATTCAGACAAAATCGACATGTCAAATGGCTTTTGTCCTCTCTCCAATAGTACAAACACAATAAAATTTATTGGGGTTTTTGACTATAGTTGCAAATCCCATGAATTGTTGCAAAGACTTCTTTGAACTCTTCCTTCATTAGGCCCGTCGTCGGAATTTTATGAGGCTTCTCTATTCATGATCGAAAGGATTTTAAAAATTTAAAACGAGATTAGTTTTTTTGTATTTATAGGAAACTGTGAGCATATTTTCGATGGACCTCTGACAAAATTCAAAACAACTAATTAACAGCTATAATATTTCTAACGATTAGGAATTCTATCAGAAACCCATCAGAAATCATTAATGGATATGTTATGTCATATATTTTTGACCATCTGTTCTCTCATCACAAAATCATCGAAGTTACGTTGGAAATTTCTAACAAAGTACGATCCGTAAGAAATTTTCCTATTTTCTTGTAGTGAAAAAATAGGTATATGTAGACATAATTTTCTAATCAATTGAAGTAGACACAATAGTCATACTCACTCCCTAAGTAACCATTTTTCTTCATGAAATCATTGAAACGGTTATTCCGTTGTCTCAGTGATGGATTCACACCCTTTAGAGATCTCTTCAGCAAACAAAATTTGTTAGGATGCTTCTTGTTGACAAAACCTTCACGTGTTCCATTAAAATTAACTCGTATAAATATCCATGCAAGAAAGTGGTCTTGACATCGAACTGTTACAATTCCATTCACGATGAACTTATCAAACTCATTAACAATGCAGACAAGCAAGCAATGCTAAATCCTAGGCATAGAGTTCACAATCAAGCAAGTTAAATCCAATCTCTTGGCTAATCATCCTAACAAGAACTAACTCTCATTAGTGCTAAAATCAATAACAAGCAAGCTAAACCAACTCTATTCAAACCAAAATACTCCTTAGACAATCAATCTCTTGAGCTAAGATAAGTAAATCCTCTATTAAATAAGATCAATATTTCATCAAACACTTGGTGAGCATAAAAGAAAGCCTAAATCAAGATTCATGTGATCAAGATAAATCTAGCCTAAGCACAAATTAATGGAGAGGAAACAATCATAATTAAATACTAACAAGTCCTAATCAAGCCCTAATTAAGAGAGGGATTTGAGAAGACTACTAACATCTAAAACCGTAAAAGTGAGTACTCACTCATCATCATAAAAAACACCAAATCACAAGAGGAAAAAATGTTAACCATGATTAAGAGAGAGATTAGAGAAGATTAAATAAGGCAAATACAAAAACTTAGATTAAAAAGATGATCTTGTTCTTACAAAGAGAAAAGCATTTAAGTGAAAATAGCAAGAACAAGGATCCTTGCCCCAAAGTCAACAACCACATCTAGGATCCTTGCTATTATAATCTGAATTTAGAATTTGCTAGTGTTCTGTTTTGTTTGCTCTGTTTTGCATTGGATCATTGCTTAGTATTGCTTTTACAAGTTTTGCTTGGTTCATGATTCACATAGGTTGATTAGTTTAGAAGTTTAAACAACTCTCTTCTCTGATTTGCTTGACTTAAAGTATTCTACTACAATCTTAGTGGCAGCTAACTAACCCCTTTGGATTGATAAAAACCCTATGCTATACGACAACTGATTAGTATGAGGGGTGATTGACCAAGAGAGTCAAAACTCTTGTTTCAATGCCTCTCTTATCCACAATCTCCATATCAAATTCTTGCAATAGAAGTATCCATCTGAGGAGTTGATATATCATGGTTTTTATGGTTTTTAACCATGATATAAGTCTTATTTATAGTCTTTTTGGTCTTTTTAGAGTCCCATTAGAGTCCTTACAGGACAATATAGGTGTTTGGAGTATAATTGGAGGTTTTGGAGCACTCTGGAGCACTCTGGAGCAAAACTGGAGACCTTTCCGATCAGAGCAACAAGGAGACGTATTATTCCATGGGTGACGCTCGTCACCACCTATTGGTGACGCTCGTCACCCCCTAAGAAGACCTTGCAGGAGCTAATTAAAAGATAAAGGAAGATTTGCAGTTGTGGCCCAGAAGTTTCATTATTTCCAAAAGGCCACAATTCGTTTTTAACCTGTATTTAACATTTTTCAGCCATTCTTTGGCTTGTATCTTATTTTCTACTGAGAAAAAGAGAGATATTTGTTCTGGAGATTTTGGGGAGACAATTCTGAGACTCTATTTCTTTTGAGAGAAGAATTCGAACCCTTTTAATTTTTATACTTATTTCGTTTATGCAATCTATTATATTCATGATGTTTTCTCAGTTCACCATGTCTGAGTAGTTTGCTAGTTATGTTAGGATGAATTAAGGGTTGATGATTAGTTTGTGGGTTTGTTTTACTGTTAGGAATAATCCATTAGTTCATTATCTTGATTTGCGCATATCTCGATTCTAGGACTAGTCATCCAGAAATCGTATTCTAGGTTGTTTAATAGATGTGAGAGCATTGTTAATCACTTGAACTAATCATAGATGACCAAAATTTCTATCTGCAAATAGATTTGATTTATGAATTTTGTGAACAATTGAACCTGATCGTTAATGTTTGTTTGAATTTTGCAAAGAGATTTGAAATTCTGGAATTTAGGCATAGATAACTTCTGCAACGAGAGTTTATTGGTTTTAAATTAGTGTTTCAAGTTCTAGACGGTTTTATAATATCCTGATAGTTTATATTTTGCATTCTTGGATTCAACTTGCGAATTATCCTGGCCTAGCGTTTTAATCTCTTGAATCTTAAGAGCATCCAATCAATCGCCTGCTTTCGTTTCGTTTAGTTATTTCGATTTGCATACATTTGATTTGACTTAACTTAATTTGAATCTAGAATTTTTAATGTAACGATCTTAAGTCTATTGGAATTCGATAACCCTTTATACTACTTCTGCTTTGCTGTGCACTTGCAGTAGTTTTATTTAGGTGAAACTTTGAGCCTATCAAGTTTTTGGCACCGTTGCCGAGGACTTAATAGTGGCCTTCAGATTTTTTTGTTTTAGAATTTTGTGTAAGTTTTTTTTTGTTACTAACACTTTCTTGTCTGTTTCAGGTGCATGCCTAATCGCAGTACCAGAACCAACAAGGAAAAGTAGCTGATCGACTTGGACAACCAGACACTAGCACGTTTAGAGCGAACAAACCGGAAAGCAAACAAACCTGTTAAGATGGTTGCTCCACTGGTGCTGATTCAAGGTGAAGATAGTCTGATGTATTATGTAGAGGGTAACAAGCGAAATGAAGAAGGGGAGCGACTTGCTGATGATGGGACTGTGATAGTCGAGCAAGCAGTGTTACCAGTGCAGAATCATCAGCCTGCAGTCGCAGGAAATGGCGCAGGAAATGTTGCTGGGCATTTTATTCAGCGCACTCTGGGAGATTACAACATGACAGACCATTTCTATCCTAATAGAGCTGCAATCCGCACTCCTGCCTTCCAGATGAATGACTTTGAGCTGTAGCCTGCCTACTACACACTTCTGGCTCAACATCCTTTCCATGGTCTTCCTCATGAGCATCCAATGGACCACATTGAGAGGTTTGGGGATCTAGTGACAAGTATCAAGGCTCATGGAGTCCGCAATAACTACCTTCTCTGCAA